GTCCATTTCAAATTTGTATGCTTTTGGGCTTTTCATTATCTAATATTAAGTTTATATTTATCTAGACAATTTTAATTTTGTGGCTTTCATATTGACTTGATACATTGAATATTAGAGCATAAGTGTGGTAATTTTATTTGAGATGTATATTTAAACTATCATTTTTATTCAAAAAAAATACACTTTTTAAATATTAGTGTGGGTTGTAATTTAGTTTATTTTAATGTAAATAAGATTAAACATATTTTTAAAGTCTTTAAAAATGTGATGTTTTTTCTTTAAATAAGTTCTATTTTTTTTTTTTTGAAATGGAAGTATTTACATGGCACGATAGTGTCATGTGGCATACAGATGGTACATGTGTAAAGTGACACATGTCATGTGAGTGTGCATGTGACATATGTTTCACATAATATATGATTATAAAACGCAATATCATTTTAATCTTTAAAATTATATATCACTGAGTCACATTTGTCCTTAATATTAATTCAATGTCACTTTAGTCCTAAAATTTTAACTTGATGTCACTTTGATTCTCAAACATTGTCATATTTTTATTTTAATCAAGTAATTATGACTTTAATATTTTCACAATGAAATAGATAATTAAATTAATATTTTAAATATGATGATAAATATATTTAAAATATAATAAAATTTTGGTATTTAATATTGTATAAACCCCTATATATAAAATACGAATAACTATATTGCATAATAACACTTTTAAGGATTTTTCTTTGATGAAAGAGTTTTTACAAATTCTTTTAATTTCATATCTAATTCAATTTTTATTTATCACAAATATTTATGAATTAAATATTAATATTTTAAAAATAAATTATCATTAAATAAAAATAATCTTGTGCTACAGTATAAATTATTTATTATAAATCTAAAATATAATTTATATATTTAAAATAACTATTTATTCAAAGGAATCAATGTTGGAGAAAATGATACACACTAGAAGGGGGTTAAATAGTATATATAAAAAACTTGCACTTTTGAAATGTAGTGAAGTAGTAAAAGCTTTGATAGACGAAGTACTGAAAGTAACAGATGAAGGAGCACGAATCTTTTATACTGGTTAATCACAAACATATAAATTATGTCCAATTCTTAATCCAACCAGATTGAGTTCCACTATTTTTTACAAGATACAAGTATTCTTTCAACAATACACTTTTGGCTCAACCCAAGTAGTTTTTGACTTGCATCTTCAAACAATTATCTAAATATTCTTTCAACAAGCCTCTCCAGACTAAATCACCAAGTATTCTTTTCAATCAAGCCTCTCTAGGTTCAAAAACCAAGTATTCTTTTTAAATAAACCTCTCTAGGCTCAATCACCAAGTATTATTTTAAACAAGTCTCTTCAGGCTCAACCCTTACAAATAGATTTGAAAAGAATTATAAGGATAGCTTCGTCTCTTCTATATGTGATGTTATGAAGCTTAAGAAACAAATAAATTGTACAAGACAGAGTTTTTCTACAAGGTATGCACCTCATTTCTTCTTTTTATTTTCTTGTTGCCACTTTCTTATTGTATATCGTTTTCTTTTGCCATTGTCTCTCATTTTGTTATTGTTTGAGAATCCCTTATATAATAGCTTGGAAGAAAATGATTGTTGAGCAAACTTCTCACTATGCTTCATCTGTCTTATCTTCGAGATTATAGAGAGAGAAAGAAAATTAATTGTTATTGTAAGTATTTAATGCTTTGCGTGAAGATGTCCATCTCTTATCTGATATTGACAACTACTTATCATCATTTCGTTTAGAAAAGGCATAAAGTAGTGGCTAAATCAGAGTAGTGCGGTGTGTTCAGAGTTCCAATCTGTTTTTTCGTGATTTATGAGATCTTTCTCTTTCTTTCTGATACAAGAATTTGACTTTCCATTTTTGGTAATTTTTGAAATCTTCGAGAAAGTTTTCTCATTCAATCTGTTCATAAATAAAGTATTAAGTGTTCTTAAAAGATATTATGAATTCGTAACGAGAAATAAATGTAGCATTAATACAAATTATGTGTTTCGTCTAATGTACTTGCCCTGACAGATGGAATATGATATTTGCTTCATCTGAAAAAGTTTTTCTGAAAATATTTTGTTTGTTATCATTAAAATTTGGTAGTCTCTCGAGGGATTCAAGATCTTCTTTTGATTTTATAGCCAACGAACATTTAATGCATCAAGAAAAGAACAACAAATCCCCTAAATCATAAAAAGCGTCAGATAAAGCTATTTAAGACTGCTCTAACCTAACACATGCATGGTTACACCCCTTCGATACGTAAAATGTGATAAGTAGTTTTCTTGATCAAATCAGGAGTGATTATTTGGTGAAAGCATTTAATGAACCAATAGACATTTTTCTCCACAAAAAACAAAGATGAAAACAAATGAAGTTAGTTAGTGAGAGATGTTCACGAATTTGCAAAGACTATCTTCATTAAAACACCTATATAAGGAAGCATAATGATTCAAAAAGTAGAGAGAACCAAACCAACTATTACTCATATTCTTTCTTTTTGTAAAATAGCTCTGTATTGTATCGGTTGTATCACATTTTGAAAGTAACATGAAAAACAAATAACTTAGTGTTATTGCTTTGAGCTCGAAGATGCTTAATTGTAAAATAATACTTGGTGTTAGAGGTTGTAGGAGTTTGACTATGAGAGAATAATAGTTGTTAAAGCCTAGAGAAATTTTGTGTTAAAAGATACTTGAGTAGTTGCCTGAAGAGGTAAGTTAAAGAATACTTAAGTTTGAACTAAAAGTAATTTTGGAAAAAGAATATTTGTATCTTTATATAAGACAAAGGAACTTAATTTGGTTGAATTAAGAATTAGACATAGTGTTGGTGATTGACACAAATTATTATAAAAACCTCTTGTGTTTAGTCTCTTAACTTTTTGTCAGCACCTCTTTATAAAGTTCCTACTTCACTATTTTCGAAAAGTGAATTTTTGATCGATACTATTCAACTCCCCTTTTAGTGTCTCTCTCTTTCTTTACATCAATTTTTTTAAGAATTTGTCAACTTGATCTATACATTCAAATTATTTAATTTAATGGTTAGATTGTTGAAATTTAATATACACCATGAATTATTGAGCGAAGTAACTTTACTAATAATTACTCTTTAAGTAATTTGATATTTCCTTATATGTGTATATACTAAACTTTTTTATTTTGTACTATAAAATAAAATGAATAAAAAAGAATAAAAATCTAACAATTGAAGGATGTATATATTTATCATTATTTTTATAATTTTAACTTAATTATTTATTTTGTTGTGTAAATATTCAAATCACAATTATATAATTAAAATAAAATTATAATAAGTTTGAAGACTAAAGTGATATCAAGTTAAATTTTTAAGGACTAAAGTGACATTGAATTACAATTTTAGGAACTAAAGTGACATGGTGTTATAGTTTCAGAGTTTAAAATGATATTATGTTTTATAATCTTATATTATGTGAAACATGTATGTCATGTGACACGTGTCACTCCACATATGCACCACTTAAATACTTCTATTTAAAAAAACAAAACTTATTTAAAGAAATGATTTAAATGAGTGAGATATTACATTTTTAAAAACTTTTTTTTAATTATATTGGAATTATGAACTAAATTGAGAGTGATATATAATTTCAAAGACTAATTTAACTATTTACTCATTTTTAAATCATTTTCTTTAACTATTAAGGTCAGTCTAGTGATGAAAGATTCACGTAACATACATAAAATTTTAAATTTAAACATTAGTTTCGTTATTGTAATTTTGATGGATTAAAAAACTCATTTTCTTTCTTTCTTTATGTTTTAAATATATTTATGTTCTTCATAATTTACTTTAATTTAGTTTTGTTTTATATTTTTGAAAATTTTATTCGTTAACACTAAATATGCCAAAACACATGTCTTACAAAATATAATAATTTCAATCGATAATATAATTATCATAAGATTGATAAATATTTTGTAGTAATTATATAATTATAAAAAATAAAGTATATATTATTCTGTGGAGAAAGTTTTTATTTTATTTTATTTATAATTTACCGTCTTTTAAAGGAAAAAAATGTTATTTACTTTTTTAAAAAATATGATTTTCCCATGGATAAAACTCCAAATTTATTTATAAGAAGTTTCGCACGGAACACACAAATTCTTAAAAATACAAAAATTTTCACATCATTTGTCTAAAATGACAAATGTTGACTATATTATACGAGTAATAACAGGAACCGACATAAGTAATATTTGCAAATTTTTAGGATAAAGGCAGGATTTTTATACTTTAAAGATTGATATGCTCATTAATATTTTTTTTTCTTCAAAATATCGGCAGGTTTCTTGACATATTTTTTAATTTTAAAAAATAAACTGGAATTAATTTTTTTTTTTTTTACAATTTGTATAATTAAGTTCTTAGATTGGAGTTGAAATTTATTTACGGTGACTTAAAACTGCCATAAAATAATAGTTTTACCTACAAGAAATACACATTACAAAAAATAAAAAAGAAAAATCAAAGATTCCAATACAAACTTTTTCTTTATCTGAATTAAACCTAAATAATATTTGAATTCATATTTTATATATATATATTCTTCTCAACCTAACCTATGATTTTCTATATTTGTTTATTCTAAAGTGAATGGCAAATATAAAATAAATATCATTAATCATTAATAAAAAGTTAATTATGAATAATTTTTTATCAGTAGTTAATTTCAATATTATTATTACATGTGCGTATTACGTATAATGTACTTACTTAGTAATTAAGGGCTATGATTACTTAATTTTTCATTTAAAGAAATGACTGTTGTTGTTCATAAGTTTTCTTTCGATGTTTTAGTTTATTGGTATTTTTGGAAAATTCAAATAATAATAAGAATAAAAAATAAAAATAAAAACAACCGCCAAAGTTGTGAATCTGAGTAGGTTAAAGGAGTGGAAAGCAAAATAAAATAAAAAGTGGTGTGGTGTGGTGTGGTGTCATCCTTTACAAAACCTAAATTCTGCACACCACCCTTCTTTTCTCTGCGTATCCAAACGCCTGCGTTTTCTTTTCTCTCCGAGGCTTCGAGAATCATTGTAAGTGCTGAAAGTGAAACCGCTACTCTCAACTCTCTCTTTTACTCGCGTTAGGGTTTCCGCATTTTCTTTTGTTTCCGCTTTTCAATTTAATTCTTCTTTCGAAAAGAGATTTCAAATGTGAGTAGCGGCGTTCTCGCTGCTCCTTAGAGTTGCATTCTCTTTCTTCACTTCCCTCTCGCATCTGAACTTGTGCTCTGCGTTTTGTTCTGTTCCGTTGTTTTTCTTCACTTCTTTATGTGATGGATGGGTGGATTTGATTGTTTTCGTTTCGATTGGAGTATTTGTTTTGTTCAGCTGCTGCATGGTTCAATATTTTGAAGGCATTGGAAGTTACGGAGCTTAATTTTAGGGCTTGTGTAAATAATGATTGGATTGATGTTGTTGTTTACTAGTCCTCTCCTGGATGAGCTAGTGTAGATGGGATAATTGCTGAATTTTTTATTTTCCTTTTTATTTTTTTCTTGTGTGTAGTTTGATTTTTAAAAAGGATACTTACTGATGAGTTGTTGTTTCATGTGATTGGTTTTGTAGCTGCTGGGATGTCTGGGGAAGTTTATGATGGACAAGATGCAAGCTACGTGCCTGAGAACCCTGAGTTTCCGCAAAACCATTCTGATGAACACGATGGAGGAAATGTGATTGATGACTCAGGGTTTCCGCAACTGCAGCCCGATGAACATGATGCGGACAATTTGGCTGAGGATGCCATTGCCGACCATCCTGAAAATAATTTTGATGGGAATGACATTGAAGGTTTGCCTGAAAACCCTGATTTTCCTTCGGAAGAGAATGCCGAGGAACAACATGGTGAAG